ACACTTAAACAGAAACAAAAATAATTCATAAGCCACGCTCTGCTATGAGGGCGTAAAACATGACACATATGGGAAAGCGTAATTTACCTAAAGGGCCAAAATAATGGTGAATAAATGAATGAGGGAAAAACAAAAAAGAATGCGCGTAAATAAAGTTAGTCGTTTCTACCGTTTCATAGTGGATATCACAAGCATACAATAATTCCTATTTGAATTCACGACTCATACACAAGAGTGGGTTGCAGCTCGAACTAGGATCCCGAGTATTTAATGCCGTCCGACAAAGTTACACAGAGTAGTAAACAACTAGTCATCGCCTGTCGGGCTAAAACGTTCAGTGTGCCGCCGCCTGATACGAAAACCCAAAAACCCAATGGGAAAAATGGGAACGTATTCCCCATCCAAAACTGCAGACGCACCGACCTCTGGGGGTTAGAGGTAAAACAGCTTAATTACATGCAAGATAAAATTTAACATAAAACTAGGAAAGTTCGAGACCTGAGATGCATACATTACAAATGTCAAACCTTAAATACACCATAAAGTAAAAGACTCAATTAACACCATAGCGGCCCACGTGCTAACATACCAATAGGAAAATATTTACATTCTTTGTCACTGCCACATACAGTTCAGTAGTTCCGCCGAATGTAAATACATTGATCTGCTCATCATATTTCAAAATCTTCTGATAAAAACTACTTTTCCTTTTCAAAAACATTCAAATTAAAAAAAAAATTGAAAACTATTCATGGAAAGTAGATCGCTGTATTGATAAGCTCGGCTGCCGTGACTACGCTGTTTCCTTCATACGTGGAAAAATTAATGTTACGTTCACTGCACGTACTGAAGATATCATGTTCTGAAACAAGAGATATTCTGGCTTGCTTGCTGGCTCCCCCTGCTAACTATCAAAATGGCCGTTTGTTATTAAGAGCTGAGGATAAAGTATCAACTCTTAGGAGAGTGTTATTGTTATCTATATTCCCCAGGGTTGTCAGATGACCGGTTGTCTCAATGGTGGTTCCTGTGTTCGCGACATAAAAAGGCAAACCTTCTCATGTTCTTGCAAAAATCCTTGGACTGGTGAAAGATGTGAAAATAAAATGGGTAATTATGACGTTAACCACAAAGAAAGGCAAAAGTTTATGAGTTCCACTTTTCATCTTTTTTCAATGTGCCATTCAATAACCTCGTCCACCTCAAAAGATTCTCAAGTGAATAGTAAGCCGGTAGACAGTGAAAGCATCACCCTCTGTGAACAGAGATATGGAAAAAATGAAGTTAGCTCGTAATGGCACCTAATACATATTCACCGCCTCCTGGTTAGCTCAATTGGTTAGAGCGCCGGATTGTGTTGTGCGGGAGGTCGAGGGTTCGAGCCCCGGCCGGACCAAAACTCATGGTCTTAAACTAACTAAGGAGAATTTGCTACCTTTCTGTAACATCAATGAAATGGATAGATATTCTAGTCTTCTCGCATAAGGACGAATAAATGGAGGCCCCGTCTCCTGTAGGGTTAGGGGTAGGAGACGTTAATTTCCCACGCACGAGATTACTGTGTGATGGATGTCCTCCCCTGGGGTGGGATGTGTGGGAGGAAAAGGTGAGGTCGTTACATGAACTAAAGCGGCTGCCAGAGGCGCCTGATAATGCTGACGTCCGATCTCAACCTTAGTAACACTGTAGACCTTAGCAATTCAGCCTATGTTGCTATTAAGGTATCCAATCTTTCACTTTTACTTTCACTTTCACTTTCACTTTCACTTTCACTTTCACCCTTCAGCCTCTAATTATAAGAGTGACAAGCAACTAATTTCTCCTCGTATTATCCTTGCTTCCTTGCTGAATCAAGCAAAAAACTCATGGGAATTTAGGAAGTAAGCATCAACTAAAGAATACTTTGATTGTCAAACAAATTCTCCTTGTCAGTGCTTTTGGAAATGTATAAAAAACAGTATGGAGAAGATGAAGATGCATATTGACCTTACGCTGTAAAGGGTTAAAGATGCTGAGGTATAACTGAGAGAATTTTGTCTTTGAGTCACGTAATGAATTCTAACTATTTCGTTTCCCTTCGTCTTCCAGGGAGCTTTACGTGCCAGGAAATTTATCATAATAAATCGTAAGTTACTGGTAGAACATTTTCCAATCACTCTTAGTTACAGTCAGTACTGGCTTCTTCCAGCATCAAATGATAAAGTCCTGCTGGTCAGTCTCAGTAAAAAGTTCCTGTAATTACTATGAAAATCGACTTTTACAATCCAAAGACGTAGAAGTATTTTTGGCGACTTCAATTCTTGAGGAAGAAACAGTAATTCACACTTCCAACCTGTTTTTTCGTGGGAAATAATTCGACTTGAAAACTCTAAAAATGATAACACGAGAAAACCATTCTGTAACTAAAGCCTCAACAAGTCAAAAAAAAAATTATCACTTTAAACCTTCTTCATAAAAAATAGAAAAGCGAGGCAAACGTTCCTACAGTTTTGTACTTTTAGTCATCAAACCACAACCCTTATGATATACCTCTTACCTATTTCCTTATGGCAGTTCTTTTGATTTTTCTGTTGTCGCCATTTCTTTTAGGGCTAATGGGAATAAGGCCTATTCATTACAAATAAGTTCTGAGAAGGTTCCCATGTACTGTCACATGACAAGTCTTGGCGCGTGCGGTGGATATGGATGGACGCTGGTTATGAAGATAAATGGCTCGCTAGTATGTACTTATTTGATTCACCAATTATGGCTCTTAGGTCTTTTACAAGACGTCCAGTTAAAACAGCGAACGGCTTTAATGATATCATATCGCTTAAGCAAAAATATTTTGGCATTCCATGATTTGTTTGCTTTATTTACTCATATTTCATATGCACTTTATGGTTAAGCTTAAAAACGAACAGAAGCCGCAATTTTCTTGCAGCCGTATG